TTCCTGCTCTGGGATTCAGGCTAAAAGTTTTTAATTTTTTTAGCAGTCATCAAAATATGTTCAGTGTTTTCTAAAATGACTTTTATGACTTCTCTGTAAGGCTGTGTAAGGATAAGGATAAACAGTTGGTTAATGGAGAGAAATATAACCTACAGCACATTCATCCAGCTCATGGTTAAGGGGCACAGCTGATTGGTTTTGTTGAAATATTTCTATTTCATTTTTTCAGATTTTTGCTAGAGGGATATGTTTTCGGTAAGACTACAGAATTATGAGATTTGTGCTCATATTTCCCATTTTTTAAAATCCTTTTCATCTACATGGCATACCGCTAGCGAAGATGAAATTAAGACCATGAATTTTCAAAGTGTTTCACTTGATTAAGAGCTAGTAACAACCTTAAAAGGAATTGAACTTAAGAATGTGGGAAATACCAAATTTTTCTAGAGAAAAATTATTGAATATTAAACTTCAGATTCTTCTCAATGGTGTCAAAAGGAGAATGGTAGAACATTTAAGTAGGGTGAGTTTGGGTGCCTCTAGTGTTTCAAACAGCAGAAGTGTGTTGTGGTAGTGTATTTTGGCAGAGGTACAAAGTGGATGTGACCTCAGAAGAATTCCGCAAATCTGACATCAGTGATAGCAAATTTTGCACGTGGGTGACACAATATGTGCAACTGTTGTGTTTGGTGCCAGCTTCACTTCTTTGTTTTTGAATGTGTGACTTTAAATTTGGCTGTATTAAAACACTTGCTTTTTCCTTGGCTCCAGCTTGATTGCTGGTTGCTATTTCAGTTATTCACATTTCACCAGTGAAAAAATGTACATTTATTGTTTGGGGCACTGATTAACCTCTGCACCCCATTATATATTCACTCTGCTACAGATGTGATGCATGTTTTATGTAGTGCCAAACCAAGAATATGCTTATTGTTTTCAGTTGTGTAATCTTTTTGTTTTGCCCCTTTTTCAGAGCTCACTCAGTGAGAAGGCAGATTCTCAGCTAATGGCCATGCCTTACACAGACACCAGCCTCAGGTAAGGCAGACCAACTGCTTTGTTATTGCTTTCTACTTAATAACCTAGTTTTTCACGAACAGCTGGTAAAAAATGCCAGTTTTCACCTTGTTGTCATGATTCTTAAGCCAGGTGCTAGCTGCGTTTATTGGCCTAGTTTCTGTCCCTTAGTAAATAACTGCTTCTAATGATTCAAAAGAAACACCTGTATCACAGCACTGCTCTCTGGGGTCTTAAGAAAATCTTTACTTCCCTCTGTAGGGTCCCTTCCTAAACAGGTTTGAATCTTAAGGGGCAAAAAAAAGGGGAATTATTTTGGGATTATCTGGAGGAACATCATTAGTTTATAAGAAGGTTTCAAAGGGCCATGAGTCCAGTAAGAGAAAGGTTTCTCTCACTATCTTCTAAAGGTTTCTCTCACTATCTCACTAAAGCTATTATAGCTAGCACCAAATTATTTTGAAAAAGTTAAAGTATCACTACATCTTACTTGTATGGTTTGTCTTCATCTCCTGATTTTCCCTGCTGATTATTAGAACACAGTAACACCGAGTTTCCTGATTGCCCCTGCACTCCCTCCCGCATATCTATCCTGTCTCTTTTCCCTGGGTACAGGAAGAACTGGAGAGAAAAGGTTAAGGAAATGAAAATTCTCTCTCGTGAATTCTCTGTGACGGTGTTTAAAAGGATCTCTGCTTTGTAGTGCCAAAGAGGAGTATAAGACCAGAATGGAGTATAAAGGGGACTTTTTGTTGAGAACAACACCTGAAATGCTGCCATTGAAAGTAAGACAGCTGTGGCCCTTCTCTTTGCATTACAGCTTTGAAAGCAGGATCAGCCTAGGAGAAAATAGCAAGCTGCAGGCAAATGTTATGGAAACCAGACTGCCAAATTTTGATATGTCTTGACAAATAAGAAGAAAAGAAAAAGCTTTTTTAGTTCTACAGGCAGATGAAGGATGTCTGTTTCAACTGAAGACTGGATGAATAAGCCTCATAGCATAAGGCAGTTTAATATACATGCTTGCATTACTCTCAAAAAAAAAATTATCTGGATTATTAGAAACATTCTGCAACATCATGCAGCTCTGTATGGAATAATCTGCTGTGCTCAGAAGGAAGTGAGATTTTTTTTTGGATGAATGATGTTTAAATGAACAGGACCAGTGAGTCATGGCAGCTGCATGCTGTGACTGTCCTGGAACTGCTAGGAACATAGAACAGACTTCCAGTTCCTCCCAGAGCCATCAGCTATTAGATGCTCCATGAAATCATAGAATCACAGGGTAGCTTAGGTTGTAAAGGACCTCTGGAGGTCTCCAGTCCAACCTCCTACTCAAAGTAGGTTTAACTTCAGGTTTACTGTGTGTCTCTGTCAGAAGAGACTGTCTCCATCTCCATTGTAAACCCCATTAAGAAGCTGAGGATTGCAATTAGAGCCCCCTCAGCCTCTTCTCCGGGCTGAACAAGCCCAGTTCCCTCTGTCTCCTGTCTCTCCTTGAACATCCTACGCTCCAGGCCCTGACCATAATGCCAGCCCAGTGTGCAGTTGCCCCCAGACGCCCTGCTGGCTCGCGTTCGCCTTGCCTGCCAGCAACCCATGTCCTTCCCTGCAACGCTTGTGCCTCCTGTCCTGGAAAGACAGGAAAGATGCTGTTTCTTCAGTTCTGTCATGGATGCTACCCCTGAGGCATTGCCTTTGGAGAACTGTTAATGCACTGGCAGTGTCCCTGCAAATGTGTAAAACCAAAAACTAACCACTTGTAGATTTCCTGATATGTAACATAAATGTAGATGGCCCTGAAGCTTTTAATGATACAGGTGGCTTTTTGTGGAGTCTACAGTCAAGGCTTTTAATTTTTAATACCAATGCTGTGGCTGGAAGTTGAGTGACCTTTACCTTCTACAACACCCTTGTTGGTGACCTGAATCCATCAACAGGAGGACATTAGCAGGATCTAGATTTATCTTTGTAGCACTGATGATACCAACATTGTCACGTTGGTCCTGGATTCCAGAAGAAAGTTGATTAATTGAAAAGTATTGCAGTGAAGTCAAAGCAGAGGAGGAAGATAAAAATTAAGATGACTTCCAAGAAAATCATTAAAACCCCTCAGCTCTCTATAGTCTATTTAGCTTTTTTCAGAGGTAATTTTGATGAGCGTTTTTGCAAGTGTTTTTAGGGCTCCAGATATCAAACTGGGACTCTCCAATTATTTTCCTGTTTCTAAATTTTGCACTATTAAAATTGTGGTTCTTGGTGCATAAAACACTGTGTCCACAACCACGTTGCTTCTAAAAACAAGCATATGGACAACATCCTAGTGCTCTGTGATACATAACAGAGTGTCCTTTGAACTTTTAAAACAAAAAAGACTCATTTATGTCCCAATGAATGGCCAGACTCAGCACCACTGTTTTGGATACACAGTTTAATATGATGCTTTCTTGTAATATGGTAAGGTATTACTAAAACAACTGGTAGCTTCGCACCTGTTTTCAGATCTTCAGTTCCTCCCTTCCTTTCATGGAGCAGTTCACAGTGGGTACTCTTAAATGCCCAAAGGTAAGTATGGTGTAATACCAGTAATCCACTGGTATTACTTGGAATTTGGGACTAGTGTTAGACTTGTTCCATGGACCCAAGAGAGCTTTGTAAAGGCCCAGTGGTTTCCAAGTGCTTTGGAACAACTTTCTCCCATGGCTGGATTTAGAGTTATACAAGGCTGTTTTTTAGGTCTAGCTGTATTTTCTGGAGTGTGGGCGAGCAAACGGATCTGTGGGACCTGTTTCAGTTTTCAGGATGTGTTTTACTGAGCAATGCGTGGGCGTGATGCCTTTTATCACAGTAAAACTTAAGTGCTGAATCTCAGGGGTGGTTTGGTGGGCCTATGTTTTTTTATGAATGAGTAATCAAGCTCAAATTAGCTCTGATCTTTGTTTCCTGTGTGTGAAGGATGTGATCTGATTCCTCACTTGCATAGTTCTGCTAAAGAGGATATATAGGGTAGAGCTGCCTTTGCTTGATCCCCCCAGGTTTTACACCCCCAATCCTGTTGAAGGGCAACTGGCTTGGCAGCTGCAGTCCTTCGATTGCAACAGGACTATATTAGCAGTAGGAGAGGAGGTAATGACAGTCTACTATTACTGCTGCTCAAGAAAATCACTTGATGATAGATTTGTGCCTTGTTTTGGGTGCATAGTTATGTTTATTTTAGAAACATACCAAAATAATCTAAGTCAGCCACCATAGTTTAAAATCTGGGTCAGCAGAAGACAGCTTGGGAGGGATAGCCTGATCAGTGTCTTTGCCACAAATACTGCAAACAGACAGTATGCTATTAAAGTGGGAAAGAATTAAAATGACTGGTTGAAGGTCCAGCTAATGGTTTGTGTAAGTACAGCTTTCCAATTTGATTAAATATGTTATTTTTGAATGGGATTGAGGAAGTATACATGATAGCAGTACGTGCTGGGAATTTCTCACCTTTCCAAGATAAACAGTGGATAAGTACCATGATTGTATGACTTGCCAGTGTTTTTGCTTAGAATAGTTTAGACAGAGTGTCTTTTCCTCATGTCTGATATACGTAAGACGAGGATTGTGAAAAAGATAAGCCAGAATTATGTGAATATCTTATTTTTGCTCCACTGTCTAAATTGAAAATCAAGAGCAAATCTTTGAGTTTACCAAAGAGATGCAAAAAAAAAAAAAAAAAAAAGATGGGTGAGAGAGAAGGTGGGGTTGTCGCTTGACAGTAAATTAGAAGTTCTGTTTATGCTTAACCTTGCACTTCTTTCAATTTGAGTGGTTTGGATCCTTAGCAGTAAAAAAAATTAGAAACTTATTAAAAGGTTTGATTTTTTATTTCAGAATGACATTTCATTCTAAAATTTGCAAAAATCTATTTTCAGAAGTCATCACAATTTTTCAGACACTTTAGGTTGACTTGAAACTTTTTTTTTTTCCTGTTGAGCTAGCAAGCAGGTTTTTGCCAGCCTCAAAAGCATGAGTAAAATCAAGCTTGGAAAAGTTTCCTGCAGGAAGACCTTTAAAGCACTTTGAACTTTCAAAAAATACCCAGTAGTTTCACTGCCTCCACTTGTGTTTAATGTTCTTTATGCTTCTCTCAATGGATGAAGAGCTGCTGTTCTTCTGAAAAGCAGGTCTTTAAAGTCATTGTCTCACGGAAGTTAACTTTCTTGTCTAAAATAATTACCTGCCCCTTTTTTTAGCAGGAACTCAGGGAATGAGCTGCAAGTGTATTACGCCTCTCCAAGGAGCTATCAAGATTTTTTTGAAGCTATTCGCAGAAGGGAAGATACGTTCTACGTGGTGTCATTTCGCAGAGTAAGTGTAGTAGTTGTTCAATACTGGCCTTTTATGTGTATCCATAAGAGTGTTTCTAACACTGAATGTCTTTCCTTGTAATACAAAAGTTGACCTAGCCAAGGTTGAAGCTAAATTTGCTTCTTCATCAGTGATGCTTCTGTATATCCTTTACAGTAATATGGCCAGATCGTGGTCTTTGCAAAATATGCCCGTCACAGTTAGGAATGGAAAGAGAGCTTTGCAGAAAATATTGTAGTGCCAGGGCAAGACAGTACAAAATTGCATGAACCCTGTGGTTAACGCTTACACATGGTAGCAGTCCAATAATTGGAATAGTTAACTGGATATTTATTTAGTAGGTGTATAAACCTTTTGTGCTTCTGCGTATAGGAATAAATGTACCCTGTGCACAAATTATTTCTGCTAGCTTAACATAATACTGTTTCTGTCTTCCCCTAAACCACTTGCATTTGCAATTTTATGTGTCGCATATTGCAGCTGTACAGGACTGTGTGCAGTAGCACAATTTTGCTGCTGTTTTGTGACTTGTAAGTCAAGACAGATGGGCAGTTCTGCTGTGCTGGGATACAGCATAGGCTTGTGCTACAGCTTTGTCAGGCACATCCTCACATCTGCAATGCAGTTAGTGACAGTAAAAGCTGTTTTAAAATGGAGTTCCAGGTGTTTGATGGCACTTTCTGTACTGCAAGCCTGAATAGTATTGAAGCCAGGACAGCTGCAGTAGTGAGAAGCTGCTTGGGTTCTGGTGATGGAAATGATCAAGGCAAACAGTGTTTGAAACACCAACTAGGGATTGGGAGAGTTTATTCCCTCGCTTTTGCAGGGGTCTTGATGAGTCCTTAGACATATCTATAATGCATATGGGGTCTTGGCTTGCTAAGCCTCCTGCCTTTCTATTTTGTAGTTGTGATACTAGATTAGAATTGTTACATGCACGCTCACTCCCAGCCGTGGTTTTTCTAGGACCCTGCCAACTCCCCCATTTGTTTCCTCGTCATAGGAGTGTCCTGAGAGGGGTCCCAAGGTGGTGGGGGACCAGTAATTGCTACTGCAACAGCTCATCCAGCTACAACCAATCCTGTGTAAGAGCACACAGATGAGCATAACTAGTTTTAGCAGTTTCTGTGTTGTCGTAATTCTACCAATCTGTAGATGCCATATGTACATAGGTAACACATCCCTGTTTGACCTGGTCTATGGTAACTTTCTTAATTTGTGAGATACATGTCTTTAGAAAAGGTTCAGGCAAATAAAAATAGCGGTGCTCTTGTTAGGATTAGGGTTTATGCTGAGTAGAAATATGAGGTTAGTTTCCAGTCTTGGGATTACTGGGTTGTGTCACAAGGCTGGAATTTTGTTATTAAACGCTTGGCATGTTCTGCTGTTCTTTCAGCTAGCAAATATAGCCAGCACCAGGCTCCGCATATCCTGAGGATGAGTAGAAGAGAGTGGAGAATTGATTATAAAAGTTTTTCTGGAATCTCAGAACAAAAAGCAGAATAGTATTTGTTTAGTTCTTCACTTTCAGCCATTCTGTAGTCCACCCGAATGCATGTACTGGTACATAGGTTCTGTTTACGCTGTCGGATTAATGACCTGGAAGTTGTCGGCTCTCATTTCGACTTGCAGAGCTGTCCTTGGAAACAGAGTGTGTCTTATGCCTCGGAATCCCTACTGCTTGGCTCTGCTCTATTGCAAGGAGAGGTGCAGGGACTTTTTTAAGCCATCTATGAAGTTTATTTGGTAGCAAAGCTGTTGGCATTTCTATTTTATGAAATGTCCTCAAATCGAAGGCAGTTTTATATATTACCTCATTTATTATTTTAACAGGGCAAACCTGATCTAGTGACAAACTCTGCCCCCAGGCACTTTTAAATGACTTGCTTGGTTTCTTTTGTGAGTGCAGAAGAAAGGACTCCTGCACAGCCCGAGGGGTGCCATCAGCAGGGCCCCAGCCAGGGAGGTGCCCTTTCACCTTCTCCTGACGACTGCTGACTTCATTTTCTTTGGACCAGAATTCCCTTTTCAGTGATGATTAGGAGCTGAGAGAGGGGGACCGATTTCCTCCTCAGTGTTACAGGACAGTTCACTCGTTTTGCTTGTTCATTTGTCCAAGGTAGAAGGCAAGGCCTAGAGATGATAGGTTTTGTTCTCCTCTCTGGGTGTTTGCCATGCAGACACTTCCAAGCACTTAATAAGCTGTTATCGGCCATATACAAAAGAACAGGAATCATCCAGTTAAGGGTCCCAGGGAGAGGATGGTTCTGGTATTGGCGATGGTCCTGCTCCGAGTGGGAGGTGGGACTATGGATGTCCAGAGATCCTTGCCACCTGATGTCTCTGCTTTCTGCTGTGTGCAGTGTCATATAACCCAGAATCTCTCCTGGGAGCATGTGCTGAAATGTAACACATTTTTTTGTGTGTTTTCTACATGTTCTCACTTGCACTAGAGGAGCTATGCCCAGAGTTCCTTGGATTTTCTAGTAAATGGCATTTGCTAGGGCTGCCCATGCCACTCTTACATAGTAGGACTCAGCCAGGGCTTCTGAAGGTGCAAGGTAGGGGAGCAAAGCTCACATGCACTGTGTCATCCTCTGGTGATGCTTGCTATCTGTAAAACCGAATTTCTCATGATCTATTCAACTTTATTTTCTTCCCTTGCCTTGGAAGGCTTGCATGTCTGCATATTTACAGGTGGAGTTTGATTTTTTTCCCCTTTTTTTAAGGAGAGAGGAAAATAAAGTAGTATTTGGATCAGCTGAGTCCATACAAGAAGCAGGGCTTTCACTCTGGGAGTCTAGAGAAATTAATTTTCTGCTATTGCCAGGGGAATCTGTAATGTCATTTTTAAACAACAAGAAATACGTAACTGACAGTGAGTAAAGAATTCTTGAACTGGGGCAGTGTTGTCTCCCAGCTCTGCCAGGCCTCAGCAGCCAACATCCCTCTTAGGCAGGGCTCGTCACCATTAATTTCTTGAGATGCTAACTTGTTAATTTTATTTTTTCTTGCTGCTTAACTTTTAGGAAGCTATTGTTCTCAGCATTCATTTAGCATTGCAGAAACTGACATCTGGCAATGTAACAAGATATGCATTCCCAGTAGTATACATTCACACCTGGGCCCTCTGCTGTCCCCAAATGCTCCAGCACTCCGAAGCTACGTCTTTGCAGCCTGCCTCTAAGTTGGGCTGTTTTGGGTTGGTTTTGGGAGCACATTCAGAGCTGAGAGGTCTGTGCAGCAGGTACTGAGAACAAGTTGCCGTGCTTCTATGAAAAGGGTATGGCAGTTTGAGCTCTGCTGCAGCACATTGGAGTCTGCAGCTGGCGTTGAACCTTCCTTCCATTTCTTCCAGGTCTGAGAGGCAGAATTGTGAGTCTGTTGCTCTGCCAATACCTTTGATTTCTGCCCTTTAACATCTATGATACCAAGTCTGCTTGATCTGTTCTAAAACCCCAGTGGAGTGCGGCTGCAAAATTCAAGTTAGTTGATATAGCTTGCTCTGTCAGCAGGGAGATAGACACCTGACTGCCGCTGCAGTTCTCCTGTAAGCCTGGCACTGAAACAGTTCTCTCTCAGAGCTCACATCTGTTTTGCCATGGAGTATTCAGACCTTGAGATTGTTTCTAGAATTACTTGAATAGCTAGCTTAATTTGAAAGGTAATTAAGTAAATCATTGGAGAAAACAAATCTGTTCCAATTTACTTTGGCCTGTAAATGCTGCTCCAGATCATTCCACTCTTGTGTGGTTAGGATCAGAGTCCCCACAACTTGCAGTGATTAAGCAGTAGATTTCCCCATCCTGGAAGACTCTGTCAGTGACCCTTTGATGACATCTCTGCAGGCTTATTAAGGACAGTGACATTTTTTAGGGTAAGAATGTAATTACTGTTCTTCAGGAAAGCATGGTTTAAAGTTTGATTCGCTTGGAAATTTAGAAGGCCACTAGCATTTCCTCTCACTGCTTTCTCTATTTGTTTCAAAGCACAAATGTCTCCTGATATCAAAGTTTGCCAATTATATTTAATGCAGTGCACGTACAATATCTTCCAGTATATTGCAGTAAAAAAAAAGATATTAAAAGGTGATTCTGGTTATTATTTGTTAGAGTGAGAGTGATGCTGGCCCTGTGGAAATCAATGGCAAAGCCATTAGCAACTTCAGTAGGACCAGAATTTCACTTTGTAAATTTCTGCTTCAGTGCTGTGGCACTTAAACCATAGAGCTGCAGGGAAATGTATTATTATGGATGTGAATTTCTGGTCCTACAAGCCAACATCTGCAACGAGCATTTAAGGATTTCTCAAGTTCTGCAAACAAATTTTCACTGAAGTGATTAAGCCAAATTTAAATCAGAACTTTTGTTCTTTCTTTATGTGAACGCTTAATGTGCTAGGAATAAAAATATCTAAGTTGTGTTTTGCTTTTTTTGGTAATAAGCCTGTGCTGTGTTAATTGTATTTGAGATGATATATTACTTTAAGGCAGCAAAAGATTATAATGCCTGGCTTTGACATTCTTGTGTAGCAGTAGTTTGCTGTGCTGCACATATAGTTCTGGCAATAGTTTGAATTTATTCGGCGAGCATGAGTGAGGCAGGTTCCAATTCACTGCACTCTTGATGCCATCTGCATCCTGCAGGCAAAACTGCATTATAAGAAGTTGGCTTCAGATGATGTTTCATAGCCAGAAATTCAGTCCTAATGTATACTTTTCTCCTATTTTGTTACACTTGACAATGGGTGGTTTTTACTGAACATGAAGTTTTCTGCTGTTGACTTTGTTTGTGGATTTCCGTAGGCTGGGATTTATAATTTGGTCTTCCATTCAGATAAAATGCAATGATTAGACTCACATAATCCTGCTCCTCCTAAAGACACTAATAGCTAATTTATATGTTTGCGTCTGTGGGTTTGCAACTGCTACAAGTTAACACGCAGATTTTCGAAAGATTTTACAAACTCCCCTTTCTCCTTGGGGAACCTGACCTTAGCTA